GAACACAGATCGTATGGTTCCCAGAATAGGTTACGAATTGGGCTGTGAGTCGCAAGGTTCGCAGTTTGAAACTACCAGCTGTTTCATGGGAGAAAGATGAGGCTTTCTGCTCCCGTAAAGATTTACAGCCTCGGAAACCCTGTACAGGGTCGCTATGAGTAGGAACTGACTCCATAACACATAACCACCATCAAGACATGCTGGATAAGATGGAGGGTCGGAAAAGAGAGGAAGACCCCCAACGAGATGGATCAGCCTGGTGGCGTCATTGATGGCGTCAAGTGTGGCAGCGGTAGTGAGGTTGGCCCATGATCAGACATTGTTTCATTCTGCTGTGCATGGGGTCGCTATGAGTCGGTTCTGACTCGATGGCGCCTGACAACAACAACAACAACAAGGGCAAGGAAGGAATTCTGGTTAATGCACTGGACTGCAAAGTCAGTTTGAACCATAGGTCAGTGGTTCAAGCTCACCAGCCACTTCTTGGAAACCCTATACAGGGTCACTATGGGTTGATTTGGTAGATGAATTCATGAGCTTTAATGCTGACAGAGACAAATTAAGTCTATGATATCCATGAACTCAATGGCACTTAACAAGGGAAAGGAGGTATTGGAAAAGGGGGAGTGACTGCAGATTGGATAGGGAGTTTCTTTTGAGGGTTATGAAAACGTTTCAATTGTGGTAATGGTTACCTAACTCTGTGAATATACAAGGAGGCATTAAGAAGTTCAAGGAGAAATGGAATTAAAAGAGTATGGACTTTTCCCATGAACTTCTTAAAGCCCCTTGTACTAGAAACCATTGAGTTGTACTCATGAAATAGGTGAATTTTATCTCCATAAAGATGATTGGGTTTTTGTTTTTGCTTTTAAGGTGCCTTTACCACAGATTTATAGGTTCTGATGTATATGTTCATATTCTTTAGGTAGCTGAGCTTTGTTTGGAGTGCATTTTCAAGCAACAGAGAATATACAGAACGATTATGACTTAGCTCACGTGTCAGTGAACAGGATTAAGCCTCATCAGGGCAGTAGTAGCTTTCCCTACTGCTAGTTTGTTAATGTTTAAATGGTTTCCTACCAGACCCTTGAAGTAGACTTGTAAGTAGACATTTTACAGATTGCTTTGATTCCCTTTACATTACAAGGACAGGGCAAAAGGTACTGCAAATCTGCTGGGTTAAGTATTTTGTTGTTATTAAGTGCCATTGAGTCAGTTCCACCCAAAGCAACGCTGTATAGGGTTTCCAAGGAGTGGCTGGTGAGCTTGAACCGCCGACCTTGCAGTCCAGATATTAATCCACAGTACCACACCAGGACTAGTATATTGTTGTTGTTAGGTGCCGTCGAGTCGGTTCCAACCCATAGCGACCCTGTATAGGACTTCTAAGGAGCGGCTGGTGAGTTTGAACCGCTGACCTTGTGATTCAAACCTGCTTTTCAGTCCAGCACATTAGCCCACAGCGTCCCACCAGTATGAGACCAGTTTATTCTAAGGATGGTGAAAACAGCAGAGCAAAAAAAAAATTTGTTGAATGTAAAGTTGATGATCTTGTCTATGAACCTTATCTCATTTTACAAATAAAAAAAAAAAAAAAAAAAAAAAAAGTTTGGGGGGGAAAAAGAACAAAACCCAACACAAATGAAACAGAATTGATGGAACTCGGTGTGCCCTTTGGGGAAAAGACTGAGTGTTATCCTGGGGATTCTTTTGTGAATTCTCCTTTCCCTTGATTTTCTGCCTTTCCCGTATCGGTTTCCTAAGTCAGTGGTTCTTAAAACACAGTACATATCCCCTTGGCTAGCTTGGCTATACCAAGATTGTAAGTGATGCACACCTTTTATTTTAATAATTATATATTTTGATATAAATTAGAAAAATACAGCTAGTCTTTTAAGCCAGTAGGTTCATGGCTATAATTGTTTAAGGAAAAGCTGTAATAATGACATTAGGCCTAAGTTGTTGTTGTTGTCTTTACAATGAACCAGTCCCATTTTAAGTAGTGGTGCTGTGGATTAGGCATTGAGCTGCTAATCACAAGGTCAGTGTTCAAATCCACCAGCCAGTCCTCAGAAGGAAGATGGGGCTATCTGCTCCCCACAAAGATTTATAGTGTTAGAAATCACTTATAGGGTCGCTATGAGATATAATCAACTCAGTGGCAGTGGTGATTTGTGGGTGGGGTTGAGGGTGCCTGTGTAGCATATATAAAGCCCCTCTATAAGAGATGATTTGGTAGATGAATCCATGAGCGTTATTGCTGACAGAGACAAATTAAGTCTCGATCCCCAAAATGCACTCTTTCTTTTCCAAATCTACTGCCTGGGGTTGGCGTGTACCTCTGCTTATAAGTCTGCATATGCATTATATATCTTGAAACATATTCAAGGTGGCCCTTCTACAAAGAAAAGGTGAGCATCTTGTGGATAAAGCCTGTGTTTTAGGATCTTTTCTTTTTTAAACCAGGGCAATATTATAATCTAGTTGTTAAGTGCTATCAAGTTAGTTCTGATTCACAATGACCTGGTGGATTTGAACTGCCAGCCTTGTGGTTTGTAGTCCGGTGCCGATCCTGCAGTGCTCCATCAGGAGTCCATGTATATAGCTAGGGGTAAGCATTATTGCTTCTTCTTTCTTGTCCTTAAGATGTTAAATGTTGGGCCTCTATTACCGGTGTGGCGCTGTGGGTTAATGCACTGGACCGCAGAGCTGCTTGAACTGTAAGATCGGTGGTTTAAGCTCACCAGCCCGCTCCTTGGAAACCCTACATAGGGTTGCTATGGGTTGGAATAGACTCAACAGCACTTAACAACAACAACAACATTTCTGGTGTGGCGCTGTGAGTTAATGCACTGACTGGAAAGTCAGTTTGATCCCCAAGGTATGCAGTTCAAAAAGCTGCTCCTTGGAAACCCTACACAGGGTCACAATGAATCGGAACCAACTCAATGGCACTTAACAAGTACAACATTCACTGTAGAAAGAATGTACAGTTCAGTTTACAAAGGCGTGGGCTAATTAGTGGATTTAATGGTAACACTGAAGCCCAGATGACTGAGAGGAATCTGAATTCCCTTTGGGATTTCTCTCTGTCAGGAAGGTGTCAGGCTCAACATGGCTATTATGCAGGGTTTTCAGGCTGAGTTAGGGCCTGCTTTCTTGGCAAGCTACTTTGTTGGTAGACTTAACTGAGCTGGAAATTCCAGCCTGTTTCAAGATGCTTCGTATCTGACAACATTATGGTAAAACCCAGATCTTTTGCTTTCTTCTAGGCATCTCATGAACATTTTGGGAATCACTTTTCTGGTTACTAAGTTGCTCACCTTTGCTCTCAGAGATTGGTGGTTCTTTATTAACTAACAAGTTTAGTGTATAAGAATGGCAGTAGCCTAACCAAAAAAATCAAACCAAATCCACTGCTGTCAGTTCTGACTCACAGGGACTCCATAGGACAGGGGTTTCCAAGGCTATAATTTTACAGAAGCAGAATGCAACATCTTTCTCCCTTGGAGCTGCTGGAGGCTCAAATCACTGACCATTTTTCATTAGCAGTTGAATGCTGTAACCACTGTGCTACTAGGACAACTTGGCATCCACTTAGCAAGGCAAAAGGGAAGGCATATAAATTTCCCAACCTATAAATTTAATGTGGAAAGGTCAGAGAGATGAATCATTTATAAAATGGAAATGTATTTCCTTTCATAGCTAACATTAACATTGTTCTAGCTTTGCTCATTTCCCAAGGCAATTACTTAAAAAGTGAAGCCCAGAGAAATACCACCTCTACCAGGAAACTGCTAGTTCTTTTGGGGTGATATGGAAGCCTGTCTAAAAGAGAGTTTGTGTGGTAAATAAACATTTAATCCAAATAAGTGCTACAATTAAAGGTTACAGAGAATTGCTGCTTAGATGGTAATAGTTTCTTTGAAATATTTTTTAGCTATGCTTTGTCTCTTGCCAGTAGTTAAATAAACTCTTGATGTTTCCATGTTCTAAGCAAAAAACCCTGCAAAGCTGTTGTTGTTGTAAGGTGTTATCCAGTTGGTACTGACTCACAGAGACCCTTACGCAGAACAGAACGAAACACTGCCTGGTCCTGGGCCAACCTCACAATCGTTGCTACGTTTGAGCCCATCGATACTTTGCCAGTCCATTTCATTGAGGGTCTTCTCTGACCCTCTGCTTTACCAAACATGACATTCTTCTCCCGTGATTGGTCCCTCCTAACAATATGTGAAGTCTGACCATCCTGGCTTCCAAGGAGCAAAGCTATGAGTCCCTACTAAAAGTCATCTGAATTAGAGTAGTAGTCGAGAGTGAAAAATGAATGAGGAATAGTTTGGTCTGCTTGTTTGAAAAGTTTCACTGTAAAATGTTTCCCTTCTGTTAGGTCTGAGGAAGGTTCATTTTTTTTTCCAAAGAATTTTAAAGCATGCCTTTAAGTAATCCATTCTGTTTTAAATGGTCACTCAGTACAGGTGCCTTTTTTAAAAATAACCCTAAAACAATATCTTTTGAGTTGTTGATTTACGTTATATTTAGAATGATACAGAGAAACTTCACACCTAAATAGCTGTGCATGATCAAATGAGGGGGCTTTTACAAATTTGTGAGAACATTATCTTTCAATTCCATTTTCCATGAACTTTTTGAAGCTCCCTTGTATGATCCTGCATTTTATAGGTGTTGTTGTTGTTAGGGCTGGCGAGTCGATTCCGACCCATAGCAACCCTGTATATGGTTTCCAAGGAGTAGCTGGTGAGTTTGAACTGCTGACCTTGCAGTTCAAACTGCTTTGCAGTCTGGCACATTAACCCACAGTGCCATACCAGGACTCCATTTTATAGGCAGAGCTTTTTAAGGATCTCTTAATTATTCAGAATTGTTTTTTCTGTCAGTATTTAAACTTCTTTAGTGTTTGGCACAGAACCTTACTCCTAATACACAGTGCATTTGTAAAGTTTAATTGCTTATAACTTTTTTTTTTTCCCCAATAGAAAAGGTACAGTTTGGCTGTGGGTCCTCCCAAAAAAGACCCAAAAGTTAAGGGTGTCCAGTCAGCAGCAGTACAAGCATTTCTCAGAAGGAAAGAAGAGGAACTCAGGCGAAAAAGTATGTATCTGTATCCTTAATCTCAGTGTTGGTCATCTACCGTCACAATTCCAAAGCAAAACTCAAACCCATTGCCCTTACGGTTTCCAAGATATTAAAATCTTTTATGGGCTACATCTTTCACATGAGAAGTGGCTTTTGAGTTCAACCATCCAACCTTTCCATTTGCCATCTAGCACTTAACCATTGTACCACCAAGGCTTCTACTTTTCGACTAGCTTGTGCTTAACCAGTAGATCTTTGAGAAAGCATATGAGGTTAATTGAAGTGTTTTTCATGTGTCTGGCATAATATGTATTCTTTTGTATGTGATTATCTTTTATTCTCCTTTAAATTAGAAGCTGCTTGGGATAGTGATCACAGTTTCTAATTGGCCATAGGAGGTCCCTGAAAAAAACTGTGTGGGTTTTTTTTTAACTTTGACTCTGGATCTTCTACCTATTTTGTACTTTTAAAAATTATTATTAAGAGTGCTATCTTAAATTTTAAGTATGGAAAGTTTATAAAAACCATTAATCCCAGGAAGTGCTATTACAGCATGCAAATGACAAAGAAATAGATTCAACAAGTTTACTAAGTGTTTCATAATTAATAGCAATTGCTAAGTGGGTGCTAATGTTCCTTTAACTTAGTGTATTTATTTGATATGAGCTGTTTGCTATATTTAAAGCTGAAAACCAAGTCTCCTACTTGTGTATTCATATAGAAAACCCATATATGACTCATTTGATGCTTATTCAAATGACTTACTTGATTTCTTAGATGTCTTCCAGTTAACTTTTGAACATTGCTTGCGTTTTGATCACCTACGAATTTCAGACTGCATACTGTTTTTTGTTGTTTTTTTTTGAGAATATTGTTTTGGGTTTAAGATGAAAGATTGCTTAGATATTAGGTTCCTATTAACAGTTTCTACGTAAACTATTCATTGATAATGATTACATTTTTCACAGTGTAGTCATCATTTTCATTCATTCCGTTTTGGTTGTACCATTTCTAGTGTCCCTGCTCACTTACCTTCTCTGTTTTGCTTCAAGGTAATTTTTTACCATTTATTTGGCCTTTGTAGATTCTTTTTTTTTTTTTGAGGAGCTCAGTACAGCATTTTATGTTATTTATCTAAAAGGTGTCTTCAAGGGATAATTTCAGCTTAAGGTTTACAAGAGTAACTTGGGTGATAGTTTCAGGGAATCCTCCAGTCTCAACTAGACTTCTCTTCCACACGTTTCTCCCATTATGTCAGGATTCATCTGTCACGGCCCTAATCAGAACCGTAAATAGTGGTAGCCAGGCATCATCTAATTCTTCTGGTCTCTCCATAGAGGTGGCTGTGCTTTGTGTAGACTCGTAAACCTATAAATTGCTTTCTTCTCTGAGTCTTTGGTTCCAGATATATCGAGACCAGTAGCTGTATATTAGATGGCTGTGCACAAATTTTTAGGACCCCAGACTCTACTCACCACATTGGGTTGTAGAACATAACTGTATTAACTATATTATGCCAATTAACTGAGTTGTTCCATGAGACTATTATGGTCCTAAGCCTGTAAACTCAGAAAACCCATCTCACAAGGTATTTGGTTATGACTAAGAAGTATCTGAACTGTGTCCTAGATTTGGTTTGTTCTGTATTGGGATATATGTCTTTGCACTCATATAACCTACATGTGTACGCAGGTAAGTCAAACAGTATTAAGTATTTCTACAAGGGTTTCAATTCATACATGAACAGGTTTATTCCAAACAAAACTGTGTAAATGTGCGTCTGAGATTAGTGGACGGCTGTACACAAGTTCTCTCTGTGATATACTTGTCTGAATCTTATTAGGGTTCCTTCAAAAACAATGTTCAGTGACTTCTGTGGGGATCTGCTGGTCCAGTTAAATTCAAGGTGGAGTGGTTAGTTCAGAAGGTTATGGTAACTGTTTTATTGGATATCAAAGGAATGATATTCTGAGGTTTTCTTTGAGTCTGTCGAGGATGCCAGCAGCGTAAATTGAAAAGCACACGATTTGTGGGGGAAGAGCTGTTGTTGTTGAGTGCTATCAAGTTGGCTTGTGGTATGGCACTGTGGGTTAATGCTCTGGACTGCAAAGTCACTTTGACCCATAAGGTCGGTGGTTCAAGCTCACCAGCCAGTCCTAGGAAGCCCTATACAGGGTCGCTATGGGTTGGAACTGACTCAACAGCAACAACACAAGGGTTTCTGAGGAGTGCTGCTCATGGGTTTGAACTACTGAGCTTGCAGTTAGCAGTGTAGTGTTTATCTTAACAGCACTACACAAGGAGGCAGAGTGGAAACATCACCTTCACAAGTGTTCAGACCTAGAGAGAGGGTATGTCAAGAAACAGTAGGCTCACATTTTGATATTTTTGCTTAATAAAAGTTTTTGTGATCTTTTTACAGCACTGTTTTTTGACTAACTGTCATATTATGCCTATCGATTCATCTATCTGCACCCATACATACCCACATATTCATAATTCACATACGTATTTTTTGGTGATTGCAAAATTACACACGCATTTGCCCTATCCTTTATCAGCATACTGCTGTCTTGGGACCATGAAATAATAACATGTTTTTATTTTATCCATTTTAGCCTTAGAGGAGAAAAGAAGAAAAGAAGAACTAGTCAAAAAGCGAATTGAGCTAAAGCATGACAAGAAAGCAAGAGCCATGGCCAAGAGGACGAAGGATAATTTCCATGGTTACAATGGGATTCCTGTTGAGGAAAAGTCAAAGAAAAAGCTAGTGATGGAAAATCCCACCAGCCAGGGAACAGACCAGGAGTATGAGATGGAAGATGATGATGACTTCTTAGAGTACAATCAAGCGGAGTCAGATCTGGAGTATGAGGAAGAGCCTGAGCCTCCCAAAGTTGAAAGCAAGCCAAAGGTCCACCTCAAAAGTGCCCCACCACCTATGAACTTCACGGATCTACTGAGGCTGGCTGAGAAGAAGCAATATGAACCAGTGGAGATCAAGGTAGTGAAGAAACCAGAAGAGCGGCCTATGACTGCAGAAGAACTTAGGGAGCGAGAATTCCTGGAGCGAAAGCATAGGAAAAAGAAACCAGAGACAGATGCACGACTACCTCCAGCTGTGTCCAAAAAGGCACCATCTCAGAAAGAAAGTGTAGGCACAAAACTTAATAAAGTTTCTGGGGACAAGATTTCTTCTTCTAAAGGAACCACCTCTCTTCCTCATGCTGAGAAGAAATCCAGACCCAGCACAGCCAATGAGAAACACTTAGGCTTGTTGTCATCTAAACCCATATCAGGAGAGAGGACCAAGGCAGTAACTGGCAATTGCTCCCAACCCTCACTTCGTGAGGGCCATGACAGACCTGTTTTCAATGGGGCAGGGAAGCCCCATTCTAGCACCTATTCACCAAGTGTCCCAAAGACTTCTGTTTGTGGGACTGTGAAATCTGCTACTGAACACAAAGCCAAAAAACCTCCTTCCCATCCTAGCCATTCCAGGCCTGGGCCCACAGTCTCCTCAAGCAACAAGGTAAAGAGTCCAGGTGTCAGGCAACCAGGCAGCGGCTCTAGCTCAACCCCAGGGCGCTCCAGCACAGGAATTGCTCGACCCACCGATGTGTTCAAGCGCCAGAACGGCAGTTCTAGCTCAGGACCTGAACGGTCAATCAGTGGGACCAAGAGGCCAGCCAGTGACTCATATCCCTCTGGTCGGACAGTCAGTGGTGCAAGTGGCCCTGGGCGGCCCATGAGTGGCTCAGGTGCTTCTGGAAGACCTGTGGGCAGTTCTGGCAGCCTTGGACGACCTGTGAGCAAGCCACATGATCTTCGGCGACCAATGAGCGGCTCGGGTCCCCCTAGGCGATCAGGAAGTGACTCGGTTTCAGCTGGACAGACTGTCAGACCAGTAAGCAGCTTGGGACCTAGGCAAACAATTAGCAGCTCAGGTCTCCCTGTAAAGCCTAGATGCACCGTTGTTTCAGAAACAATTTCTTCTAGGAATATCATTAGCCGGTCTAGCAATGGACAGATGAATGGAATGAAGCCGCTCCTGTCTGGCTACAGATCTGCCCACGGTAAAGCTGTCCCTCAATCTAACAGTATATAGTTGTCGATAGGAAATTGCAAAAAGTATTTTGCTATATTTATATGACCAGAAACCCTGTGAGCCAGTCCATGTGTTTTTAGTGTACTCTACTGCTGACAAAATCCTGATGTTTTGTCTTAAGAGTTCTTTCAGTTATCATGTCTTTGGGAAAATCTTTTGAAAAACTGTTCTAGGGCTTTCTGTGTTGTCCCCAAATGCAGTCAACTTAGCTGTATGGTTTGCGAGACAAGTGCACACAGAGTCTTAGTTATATTGTTGTTAAAATGCCATCAAGTATAAGGTTTCCAAGGAGCAGCTGGTGAATTTGAACTGTTGACCTTGTGATTCAGACCAGCCTTGCAGCCCAGTGCTTTTTCCTACAGCACCACACCAGGGCTCCTTCGTCAGCTAGTGCTGCTGTAACAGAAATAGAAACAGAATGGCTCTCACAGACATTCATTCTCTCACAGTTTAAGAGGCTAGAAGTCTGATTTCAGGGGAAGGCTTTCTGAGGCTATAAATCTTTACAGGAACAGAAAGCTTCATCTTTCATAAAGTTGAGCTGCCAACTTTATTTTTCCAAGTGCAGTGCTTATCCTACTGTGCCACTAGGCCATCTTTTTCTTATATTAAAGGCTAAATAAGAACCTGTTCTGACTGACCTACAGTCTTGTTCCTAACTTGTGTACCACAACATAGCAGGGATGATGTAATGACTAATGCTGAAGTATGAAGCCTTCTGACTCTGGTTTTTAAAGAAGACTGAGTTCCCAAAATCTCAGATACATAGCACCATTAAGACTGTTTTATATGATCTCTTGTTTAAAAGAAGATATTTTAATTTTGTTGTAGTGCTGTAGGATAAGCACTGGGCTGCTAACAACAAGGTCAGCAGTTCAAAGCCACCAGCCATTCATCGGAAACCCTATACTGCGTCACTATGGGTCAAAACTGACTCAGTGACAGCAATAATCTTTTATGAACATGATCATTTATAAAATTGTAAACCTTACTAAATTATAATATATCTTAGTAAACAAAACAAAAAGCTCTTATGAATAGTGGCTTTTCTAGTTTTAGGTCCTCCAAGGCTTCCCTTCGCTTCTGGTTACAAAAGGCACCGAGAGTATGACGAGGAAGATGATGAGGACTATGACTCGGAAATGGAAGATTTTATTGAAGATGAAGGAGAGCCTCAGGAAGAAATATCCAAGCACATTCGAGAAATTTTTGGCTATGACCGAAAAAAGTAAGACACTAAAGAATGTAAATAAATGTGCCATACTTTTTATTTTGAATAATTCATGTTATAGGGGAAGATAAACAGTAGTTGAATGGACATTGGCTAAAATTCATAGTTTGTTGCTAAATGACATCGAGTCAGTTCTGACTCCTACAGGGTTTCCAAGGAGCACATGGTGGCTTTGAACGGCTGGCCTTATGGTTAGCAGTCCAGTGCTTATCCTGTATCACCACACCTCATTGGAAGCCTGTGGATATGGGAAATTAGAGTAGAAGTCAATCCTAAAACAATCTTTTCCTTTTATAATATATTTTTAGGTCATTTAGCAGAGTAGAAGGAAATGCTTGATTGAAAATAAGGTTTTAAAAAGCTAATCTGAGAATCATTAGTGCTAGCTATATGTTCTTGGTCAAGCCATTAACTTCTCTGTTTCAGTCTCCTCTCTTGTAAAGTCATGATGTTATGAAGTTCAAATAAGACTAACAATAATAGAGAATCAGTTTTTATGTGTATGAGGGAGCTTCAGAAAGTTCTGGAAAAATTCCATTTCATTTTCCCATGGACTGTTTGAAGCCCCCTCATATTGTGTTTTCAAGTTTTAACAAATTATCAAGTGTCAATCAGTGAGTTGAGTAAGTATTGTTGGACTAACATCTTCAGCAACATTTGGTTTAACAGTAGTTTCCTTCTGGGACAAACACCGCCTCATTTACTTTTCATTTCTCTAATAACCTATGAAGTGTCCCATCCTCTAGCCCCATCACTCCCTGTCAAAGGAGGAATCTTAAATGTTTGATTTAGTTATAAAGGAGATAATAGATTTTGAAACATTAGGCTGTTAGTTACTGCTTCATTTAACCTGCTAAGGAGCTTTGGTGATGCAGTGGCTAAGTAAGTGCTAGATTGCTAACTGTTGAAATGTAGTGCTTTGGACCAACTGGCTGTTTCTCAGGAGAAAGATGTAGCACAGTTCTGTAGGGTCTCTTAAGAATCAACTCAGTGGCAACCATTTGGTAGTTTTTTTGTTGTTGTTCTATCTCCTATTTTATTATGTAGTGCTTAGAGTTTCAAAAGGTTGCAAGTGGCCATACTAGGTATAATAATTGGTCTTTATGAGTCAAAACTGATACTAGATGGTGTTTAACAACAACATTCACCTGGTGAATGAAGGACAAAGGAAGACTCAGGAATAGATTGAGGAAATTCAATGTGTAAACTAATTGCCTCCATGTGTAACTAAGTGCATCCTTTATCCTTTGCCATGAGACTAGGACATATGGTGCTGGCCTGCCATTTACTGAGTGTTCTGATAAAAGATTCAATAGAGAATCCTCATCAAAATGAGGAAAATGCAGAACGGAATATCAGATCCTCATGGAATCATTTTCTGAAGCCGTGGAACCCCTAAAACTATTACCTAGACATAATCTTTAAACTTGAAACCAAAAATAACCCTTGAAGTTTTGTTAAAACCAAACGGTTGTTTAACTAGTAATGAATGTCTGCCTTGAGCATTGTACTCTTTAAGATCTTTCTACATGGGATCAAACTGACAACTAAAGATTAGATAAGAAATTTAGGGGCAGCAGTAAGTTCGTATCAGTAGAGGAAGAACAACTCAATAAGTATAATCAGTGTCACTAGATTGTACATGTAGAAGTTGTTGAGTTAGTATATGGTCTGGGTAGACTGTTCACAAAAAAATTAAATGAAACAAAATGAGAGACTAGGAGTCCTGGTGTGGCGCTGTGGGTCAATGCAAAACCGTTTGAACTGCAAGGTTGTCGGTTCAAGCTCACCAGCTGCTCCTGGGAAACCCTGTACAGGGTCTCCCTATGGGTCAGCACTTAACAACAACAACAATAGTCCTTTAGAAATTTAAATTTTTCTTTTACATTTCTTTTTCTGCTTAACCAGATACAAAGATGAAAGTGATTATGCCTTACGTTACATGGAGAGTAGTTGGAAAGAGCAGCAGAAGGAAGAAGCAAAGAGGTAAGCATAAAACAATGCATTTGTGAAATTTGAAATGTCTTAATTTTTTCTCCCCTGCTTTTGTTTCAGTTGCACCATTGGGAATGAGAGGCAGGCTTTGTGTCACATACTGCTGACTTGATATAGGTCCCTTAGACCATTTCCTTAGCCTTATGTCTTTTTTTTTTTTCCACTTTTAAAATGAGAATATACTGTTTCTAACTATTGGGTTTTTGTGAAGATTGTCATGTTTACAAGTTACCTAGTGCTGGGCTAACTCTGCTTTCATTTAAGCATCTTCTTGCTTTTTTCCCTCATTACTAATGTCTCTTTCCACATCAGACATACCTCAGTTTGGCCAGCTGGTCTCAAGGACCTGAGTATATTCTATTCCATCTGATTGCTTTTAAGCTACCTCATAGTAAATGAATGAAACATCCCTGTGTAGGAGAAATGCGTGAGCTTGTACATGTACAAGTTAGTGGGATTGATTACATTGTTGGAGTTGTACAGCCATTCTCACCCTCCTTTTCTGAGTTGTTCCTCCCATATTAACATAAACTCACTGCCTGCTGCTGTCAGCCTGATCCCAAAGATAGACCGTAAAAGAACACAATGCTCAAGGCAGACTTTTTTCACCAGCCAAGTTAACTATTACTCCGTTCCAGCCAACTTCCGGGGATATTTTTAGTTTAAGGTTTAAAGATTATCTTAAGACAGTGTTGTTATTATTAAGCGCTTTCGAGTTGGTTCAGACTCATAATAACCCTGTATAGGTCTTCTGGAGAGCAGCTGGTGAGCTTGAACTGTCAACCTTGCAGTTCAAACCAACTTAGCACTCTAGCACATTAACCCGCAATACCATACAAGGACTCTCTTAGGGCAATAGTCCCTTAGGGCAATAGTTCCACCCTCTGTGGATCTAAAAAATCTGGAGTCCATAAGAATTTTGTTTGGTTCTATAAACATGAACTTAATCTTCACAAAAATCTTTGATCAAAATGATCAGCAGTGCCAGTCAGGCACCATCCAGTTCTTCTGGACTCATGTCAAAGGAAGCAGTCCTTCACAGAGGCAATCAAACACATTCCACGTCCTCTTGTTCTGATTCTCCTGCCTCTCTTGTTGCTGGTGACTAGAGGACTGTTGTGCAATTGGGTGGCCAATTGCAATCTTATTAGATCCCAGCCACAGTATGACCGAAGAAGTAGGAGATAGAACAGAAGTACTGTTAAAAGGCCAATTGACTGGGATGTCCCTGGAAACCATGACCCTAAGCCTCTAAGCCAAGGAACCAAATCCCGTGGGGTGTTTGGCTGTCCATAAGCAGCCTCAGCAACTACTATTTCTTTTTGTCATAAACATATCTATCACACAACATTTGCCAATTCAATTTTGATGGATACGTAATTTATTGACAGCGTTACAATTGACTGCGACTCTCCTTTAATCATTGAGATTTTCTCACCACCATTAGTTCCCTTCTCTCCTCTCCCTCCTACCTTCGGTAACCAATCTATTGATGGGCATTTAAATAGTTTGCACCTTCTGGCTATTTAACTTTTTTTTAAAAACTGCTACACTGTTTTCCACAAAGATATACCATCTGAGTTTCAATGAATAAGTGGATAGGAGTTCTAATTTCTCATAGCTTTTATCTTTTTTTTTTTTTTCAACTTTTCTGCCCTTATATGGTGGGAGTGTAAAATGTAATTGTATCGCATTTGTTGCTCTAGCTGTTATAGGCTGGTCTGCTTGTCCTTGCTAGTGGGAATGTCCCACCTCATAAGGTTCTGGATGGGTCCTATACTCTGCAAAGGCTTTGCAAGAGGCCTGTTTCGCTGGGCAAGTTCTATAACCCCTTTCAGGTATTCCAATCAGATATAGGCTGAAGACAGGCACACAGTTTCTAGATTGTAACAGAAATGTGATCACTATAGTTAAGAAGCAAAGCATTGTTTAATACTTCACAAATTTATATAAACAAACTTGTAAATATCAATTTTTTTTGGTATTTTTGCTTTGCGTGTCTCTGATGGCTGATGACACTGAGCATCTTTTCATGTGTTCAGTAGGTATTTGAATGTCTTCATTGGTGTAACATCTGTTCAAGTCCTTTGCCCATTTTATGACTGGATTTGTCTTTCTGCTAAGTTATCAAGGTTTATGTTTTGATTATGAGGCTCATGAGTCTCTGGCCCGTAATCAACTGTGAGCATATCCTCTATTCAAAATGCCTGCTTCCTAGTACACAACAGCCATAAACAGCAGCCCTCAGCACCAACTGGAAAGGAGAGTAGGCAGATCCAAGCTGAACAGCACAGGGAGGCACCATTTCCTCCTTAATGTTCCCTGTACTTGTTGGAGATGATCTGAGTGGTGCCTTGTTTATGCCACCAACTTCCCAGAATTCCCTTCAATCTCACATATATTGACAAATGTCTTCTTTTTTTTTTTTGCATAGTTTAAGACTAGGTATGCAAGAGGATTTAGAGGAAATGAGACGTGAAGAGGAAGAAATGAAACGTCAAAAGAACAAGAAGTTGAAGAGACGTTAGCTGTTGCTTTTGCCTATTTTGGTGACATTCTGCTGCAAGGAATTCTGCCTTCAGACTGAGGAAGCTGCCCCTTACCATTTTTTAATTTATATGTGGATATTCAAGGAGAAGGAATGCATACTGCTGTTTGCAGGCTGTCATTTGAGCACAAAGTATTTTTAAATGCTTTCCAGGGTGAAATCTCTAATGCAGACGATAATGCTCTCATGAAGGTAACTGTTCACAGATGCCAGCCTTGATCCTGATGAGCTATGCACTGTAATGTGGGGCCGCTCACCAGTCAGCCAGTCTTCTATTGTTCCTTTGCTACTTTAAAAGGAAATGTTGCAGCTTGACTTACATAACTCTGATGTGTGTGTAGGGCACTGCCCAGCTCCCAGTTAAATTTACTAGTTTTTTATAAGGAATCTGGCCATTCCATGAAAGTTGCCAGCAATAAAGTGACCTGTTCTAATCTGTATGTCTGGATCGAGAGCTTGAAAGTACAGCGTAGGCTTTATAATTACCATATGGATGTCATCTCCTGTGACTTTGAAGTAAAAAATAGAATTATATTCAGCATTATTCATGGATATGATGTGAAATATTCATAGTCACTAAATACAGGTGATTTAAAAATTATTTTTCCAAGGTAAAATACAAGTGATGCCATTTAGTATAAGAAAAGAAAAGTTTTCCTTTGAGATTTATTGTTACTGTTAGCAGAGTAAGCTAGACAAGGTCACTGTGCTGATTGATTTTTCTCTAAAAGTCCATTTTTATATTGAAGAAAATATATTCAAACATTAGACTTAGAAGATAGTTTAAAAAATAAGCTACATCTGAGGTGCCCAACTTCCCTACCCCTCTCTCCCTCACCATAAAGATATTTTGGAATCCCAGTGTGCCCTTATACCTCTTGATGTTAATGACTGCATTTTTATCTTAAATCCCTTAGCAAATAGCAATGGCAAAAAACCAAAAACTAAAATTGTGGGAATCAAGAGCACCACTTTTGCTTTTTTGTCCATATTGCACTTTTTTTTCAAGCTATGCACTGTGAAGAGATTTTACTGGGTAGAAAAAGGTTTTAAGGATTGTTCCCCATTGTTAAGGAACTTCATTCTCACCCCTCTGTTAAAGTCTGTTATGGACTTGGCATCTATTGAGTTTCAAGTCCAAGCAATTCCAATCAGCCTGACCTCGTCTTGTTACGACAAGAAAAGTGAGGTAATATGATTCTAGAGAGCATTTGTCCTTGACTAAAAGTAAGTTTGTGGAATTGTTCTGTAAGAGACATGACTATTTTAAGCCATTGGAAGGTGGGGTTTAAGAAGTAGAAAGGGTTTTCTACAATGAATCCCAAGTCTTCAGTAGGTCCCAAACCTGTTTTTCTGTATACCTTTTGTCCATAAAGCCTTTAATTTCCTAGTTTAGTATTGTAGATTATCATTACTAGTCTCTCTTGACAGGACTGTGGAACCCAGTCCTTTCAGACTAATTTTGAATTGAGTACATTCACATTTTGAAAGTGCAAGGGTTTCGTTTTGAAGTTGAATCCTGTGAAAGTTATCTTGAGGCATAATACCCTAACTCTCCATATGGAACTGTTACACTGGTGGCAGAAAATCATAGTGGCTGCTTGTCACCCATTTCAAATACCTTAAAGTGGAACTAATTTAAATGTGTGATGTTCCATGTAATAAAACAAAGTTTGGAACATTTCCTTTGCCGTCATTTATGTGCTTTATTTCCCCCTTCAAAAGATGTTTTTCTTGTGTATATTTTTTAATATTCAGACTCTTTGAAATCTGTAATTACAATCAAGTGATTGTCATAGCAGAAAGATTTGTAGTGACTTAAAACTTACTAGCACTTTAATCAGTAATATTATATTATTGATTTGTACAGAAAGGCACCATTGTGCTATACTAACGTTCCAGAACTTGATGGGGAAGAGTCAGGTTGTATCCATCACTTCTGAGTGAACTTCTTATATAAGATAGATGTTGATCTTAATATCCCCCTGTATCAACAGGGAAGGGTAATCCCATAACAACAAAAAAAAAAGCCACAAAGTCCTGAGCAAGCCTTTAAATTAACTTTAGCCTTGTTTCCAAATCCTGTCTTCCTTTTTGATCTGTACTTTCTAACTACTCTTAGAAAAAAAAAAGCTCACAAGCCTTTGAAGGAGCTGGAATAAAAGTACTTGCTTTTTAATGTATTCTCTACTATTTTGATTTTGAGATTTTCTTAATTCAATATTTGAAGATGTGCCTTTTATTGGGTAATGTTAAATCACGAATGTAGTAGTGTTATTTCACGATTGTAATAATGTAACATGATCATGGGTACAGCATTTTCTAACACAAATGACGTGAAAGGAAAGTAGTTTTCATAAAACTAGTATGGCTCTGATTGCACAGTCCCGCTTGCTTTTGATGTTTCCATGTCAGAGCAAGGGCACTTTCTTTTAAGGCTACTTTCAGAACTTATCTCTGTATTTTCTCCAAACTCTAAATACAGTTTTGCTCACTTGGAGGCCAGGGTACCACGTCAGAGGCAGCCTATGTGTGGCGTGAGAAGGTTCAAAGACTGCTGACAACAGAAAAAAAAGTCTGTGGGAAGTCAATTCAGTTTTTAATGTAGCCCCTAAGATTTTCTCCAAGAAACATTGTTTTTGCGTTTTGTAACTTAAAAGCAGCTATTGATACATTTCTGAGATATAGCAGAAGACCAAAACATGTTTGGATAGAGAATAAATAAGTGAAGAGTCTGGTGGTTTATTTTCAGTGTGCTGAATGTATTAGACTACTATTTATTTTGTGAATGGATGTGATTAAATAAATATTCAGGTATTTAGTATATGGTTAAGAATGGAATACAGATTTATTTGGAGTTACTAAATCCATTATGTCTTTTCCATAATGGACAAATCAAGTTAAAAACAAAACTTTTACATAGATTAGTTTGTTTTCTGGTGCTGTTGACTTGCAAGAGAACCTACTTTTGCATATACAGTTAAAAGTTTTGCAATTTATGTACACAAAAAAACTGTAGGCATTAAAAATATTTTATTGATATTTTCACTTGTTTGCATTTCTTTACAAGACTTTGAGATGTCCTTCATTTAACCCCCTGGACATTTTTCTAGGTAGAAACCCCAGTATACTCAGTGGACTTCAGATAGGGGGTTTTCCTCCTCCACAGCCCAATTCATTCTCCCTTCCACATTCACATCCACTCAGCCCCAGCCAATGCCTCTTCTCCCACCAACTTAGAGAACTTAAATACACAGAAGAACTGTTAGGTGAACAGGGCAATAGACTAACTTCCTGGCCTGAGTGCTGGAGATGTGCTCAGAACTGAAAGGAGGCAGAGCTGTTGTGTACATAATTCTGTGGTCAAAAAAGTGAGCAGATTCTGATCCCTTATAACAACCTAGGATAGCCAAGAAATGAGTTATTGAGGATATATACAAGAGGGCTTTAGAAATTCATGGAAAAATTCCATGATCTTTTTGTTGGTTGTTCAAGTTCACCAGCTGCTCCTTGGAAACCTTATACACGGTCTCTATGGGTTAGAATTGACTCAACAGCACTTAACAACAACAACAACATATGTCAGGAGTCCGGGTGCGGTACTGTGGGTTAATGTGCCAGACTGCAAAGCCGTTTGAACTGCAAGGTCGGCAGTTCAAGCTCACCAGCTACTCCTCAGAAACCCTCTCCAGGGTTGCTGTGGGTCAGAATCAACTTGACGGCACTTAACGTATATCAGGCAAGTGGGCACAGTCACACAGATAAGATATGTAGGTACTTAAATCACTAGAATGTGTTGAGTCTAGATTACTTAATATGCTAGTATCCTAGATTTTGAAATTAGTTATGTTTGTGAATTTCAAAATTCATTCTTTTCATTAAATAAGGTAATCTATTCAGTGAAAAGAAATTGTTCAGCAAACTTATCAAATGGCTATCAACAAAATATTTCTACCTAACAAAAGATCTATTTGAAAGCATTTAAAGTTAGGGCTTATCTTCTATTTTCGGGTTTGAAAGCTTTTAATTACATAGACCTTACTACATAAATTCTCATCCTAGGTTTCAGATGCTCAATAAAACAATCATTGAGGGCTGAGCAGTTAGCTTTTGTTTCTACACATGCTGCCTTCATAAGCAGTAATCACTGCCTTCCGTCTCTAATGCTGCTATAATAAATAGCACAAGTGGATGCCTTGAACAAATTCATTCTCAGTTTAAGACGAAGTCCGAGCACCAGCTCTAGGGGATGGTCCTTGCCTCCTTTCAACATCTGTAGGCCCAGTATTCCCTGGGGATCTCCATGCTGCTTGGCATCAATTTGTCCCTGGATCTAGGAGTTTCATGAGCCCTGATGCGGTGCTGTAGGATAAGTACTGGACTGATGACCCCAGGGTCAGCAATCCAAACCTACCAGCTGCTCTTAGAAACCCTATTAGGGTTGCTATGAGTTGGTGCCAAGCTGATGGTACATAACCCCCCTGCACACACACACACAAGCTTCAGTTGTAGGGACCCCAGGTCCAAAGGATGCACTTCACTCCTGGCCCTTCTTGCTTTTCTTTTAATGTTTTATTGTGAATTATGTGATAGTTTACATGGGAGAACATTAGCTTTACATTCATCCTATCTAATATAGTTTCATTGCCATAGTTACAGTCCCCTCCATGCATCATCAACCACCCCCCTCCCCAGTCATCAGCACACAGCCCCTCTCTTGGTCTAAAGACCCCAGCCGCTCCATCTTTCCACGTCACAGTCTCTGCCTCCATCTTTGGTGTCACTGGGTGATGGGTAGGTCCTGCTCTCCTCTCTTCTCCTTTGATGGTCCCGAGGACCTCTGCTCCTAGACTGCGAAGTCAATCACTCCCCTCCTTTTGCTACAAAACATCTACCTTTACATTTCCAACCCTCACAATCAGCCCTGATAACAATTATTCACTATTGTATCACAAGAGACCTATCCACAAATCCTTTCAT